AGATTGAAGACAAGGCTTTCTTACTAGCACCAGGCTGTAGTTTCTTGTCCCTTGGTAAACACTGCTGCCAGCAACCCTCCTAGAGACAGATAGCAGAAGCTCACCTTGGGGCTTCCAAATACAGCATCCACTTTGGGACAAGCTATTTCAACTCTAGGTCAGTGAGGGAGAGTTTAAAGCCTTCCGACAATCAGCTTAGTGTTTTTCAGCCATATGTCCTTGTGAAGTAATGTGATTGTGTATATGAAGTAAAAACAAAGGCTTGAGATACTTAGCATAGCCTTAGCTGTCTAGAAGATGTAGGATCTCTAGCAAGGGATCACCACAATTTTCAGAAAAATTCTTGTTTGGAAAAAAGTCAGCCATTTTTTTTTTTATATATTTGCAAGCCACCGTATGCTACTGAAGGCCGAGATGAGTTCATGAATTTCCTGCTACAGCGCTGCAGTCATTTTATTTGCACTTATGTTCTATTTGACACTTTCAGTATTGACTGTATTGATGTGATGTTTGATGGACTGCTGGGAGACATGGGACATTTTGACACACTGACATAAAGCTCTTTGTTACGCTACAGTGTCAACAGTGTGCTCACTCTTTCTTAAGGAAAATCAGGAGTAACTAACTTCCCTACACCAATGTACAAAGACAAGGAATCACCCGAAGGGTGTTCACACTATCACAGCAGCCTGTGATCACGCTGTGCCCTTCATTAACAACTTCCAGCTAGCAGACACCATTCTCCTGCAAGAGCCAGCCAAGGGAGACAAATCTGATCTTTCGTGAAAACCCTGCATGTTACGGAGGCCAGACTGTGGCAGTGCTTGTGACAGCGGTTTTGTTTCAACTTACCCAGCATTTCTAATTCCACAACAAAATGTAATCCAAACTTTTAAACAGTATCATTCTCCCTGTACTGTTTCTGCAGGTTACACTGTGTGATCTGATGGCAAAGGGATATTCGGATACCAAGCTATGAGAGTTCTAATCTCACTCTATGTTATGTAGTACTCTTAAAGGGACAGAAGTACTACCACGTTCACCTGTGGCCAGCTGTTTGGAGACTGACTGTGACCTTCTGCACTGTGTGTGCAGCAGCAGGTACTGAAGCAGAGCTGGAGAAGTGGTTTGGATGCACGACTGTTGCACTCTGCTTGTGGTGCTCCTTTTCCTTAGGAATGCTGGAGACCGAACCATAAAAGAGCCTTCGGTCACAGCATGTAGCAACAACTACCCACTCATGTTTGCCTTGTCCTAATTCCATATTTCTGTGTGGCTAAATTAGCATCTCAGTTCAAATCAGGAGCACGAAACTCCTAACTGTCCCCACCTACTGTGCTATGGTCCATGGCACTGGGCACACACAGTGGGCAAACAAGATTGCTTTTGGCTGAAGCTAACCCAAATGATCCAGGTGGCTCACAGCTCCATAAAGCTGCACTAATGGTGGTCTGAAATAAACCCTCACAAAACTTATGTAGAGTGAACATCAGGTCATCACTGATAACTGTCTGACTCTACAGCTCTGCTCCTCCTGGGCTGCACAACCTACTAGTGTAGAAAAACGAAACAAAACATTTTTACACAGCCCTAATGGGACCCTCTGATCTGTTCTTAGCACCTCCCTAGAGCTAGTCCAGCGTCTTAATTCTTTAAGAAGAATAAAAAGTGAACTAGCAGCACATCATCATTAACGTACAAAAGTGAACTGAACAAGAATCATTCTAAATCCTCAAAGATTCTCTCGGAACTGAGCAAGGATTTTGGTATCAGCTCAGAGCATTGCTGTTGGCCCACTGCTGATAGCATTGTGCTGCCCAAAGGACACTGTCACACCCAGCAAAAAGCAGTCCTAGACTTGCTACACATTCTAATAAGTAACAGCAGCAGCTCAGTTGCACTGCTGGGCTTCCAAGGGCTAACACTTCTCAGAGGCACTACTCACCTGAGGGAGGCTGGGCAGCCCTGCTTCTGGGGCTTCTACAGATGGGCCTTGTCTGGAGGCTGTGGCAGCCAGCAGAGGTGTGCAGTGCAGGAGGTGAGTCTCCTCACCCATGTCGGCACATAGTTCAGGCAGCTGTCACGCCACAGGGAACTGGAGTAAGCTCTGCGGGAAATACCTGTCTGCTGACATTGCACTGTTTATATATTTCATCATGGAACCTTGGAGAATAAAAGCAAAGCTGTGGAATATAAACCAACTGATTTGTACTTGTTGTCTTTAATTAAAGATCTCCTGAAATATAACCTGTTTGCATCTAGCCAAACGCAACAGCTGCTCCTCTGCCCTACTCTAATGTGTGCGTATCAAAGGAGGAAGGCAAGAATGGTAAAGGTACTTGATCTAAGCAAAAAAACCCATCCTCTCTCTACAGGCTACAAATACAACTGCCCATCTTCCATCTTGCTACCTCTACAAACAGATCTCAAGATACAAGGTTTTAAATAACCAAGATTAAGCAATTGCAAAGGTCTGAAATTCTCTGAAGCTACATGATTTACAGATACAAGCTTGAAATCATCAACGTGCTTCCAAGCACGTCTTACATTAACCAATATTACCACACAATGAGAAGATATAAGTGACAAAATGGATGTTTTGTCACCAGGTATTTTTGAGTCACTCCATTGATTCCATATCTGATCCTGGGTACTAGAACACCTTAATATCATCAGATGGTCCCAGATGACTCAAGACTCCCTCTGCTAAGCATCATACATGCAAAGTATGCATGTATCCCCTTTAACAAAGGGGAACATTTTTTTTCCCCACACGAAGTATTACTGAAGCATGGATTGCATTGCTTGGCACACTCTGGTGATCAGACAGATGAGTGGTTCCAAAAGGGGACTGTGTGAGTACAGAGGGTTAGTAAACCACAGTGGTTTAGATGCAGCCTATAGCACAGGGCTTAAGCTACTCCTTGACAGAAGCTGTGGACAAGCAAATCTGTGTTGTTGCTTACACTACTTCCCCCAAACATTGCTATAGGCCTCTCTCAGAAGGAAAACTACAGACAGGTTGACTGGATGGTCATTCTGATATTCCTGTGTTCTGCTATACCTCTCTGATGAAGGACATGGCACTGTAGTTTTGCCCAAAAAGCATTCTGAGAAGCACAGTCACAGCCTTTTTGGTTGTGCCCTGCCACAGAGGAAGGGCTATTAGGCCTCCCTCAGTTCTACCCACCTGTGACAGACAGAGACATCATAATCTTGGTGCCTGCCTTTCCCTGGTACTGCCATCTGTGCTCTGGGCTGTTGGCACAAGGACCTCTTGTTCTCTTTGCATAATCAGAGAAACCATGTTTTGAGCTGGCTTACATCAGGAAGATACTATGCTGGCCTTGAATGCTGGGTCTTGGGCCCAGGTCTCCCAATGACTACTATGTACTTTCTGTGCAGTTGTGCACAAAGATATTCTCAGACTAAGGGAAAATCCTTACAGGATGAGAGCTTAAAAACACAAGAGAAAGGTGAGGAAAAGGGATACAAGAAGCACAGTGGATTATGTGGTGATTTACAGTTATCTGTGTACATTGTACACTTCATAAAATTATGAATTCTTAGCGTCCTGGCTAGATAACCAGATCATAGCATCTTAGCTTTCTATTGCAGTCAAAATCTATATTCTGGCACTGGTATTTAAGAGATGGAGAAGAGCCAGGTGCAATTTCTGAAGAACTCAGCAGCCCCAGGCAGGGTGGTGCAAGAACACCTGGTCCTTCCAGGTCCCTACTGGCTCTCCATAACTTGCTCCTGTTGCATTCAGCTACTGAGAAGTTAAAGGCTTCCTTCTGCCTTTGGCACGCAAGCACCAGCAGAAGAGTTTATTGTCTGTCCTCAGCACAGCCAAGGGCAAGAAATGAACAAAGACTGGATTAAATTCATAGGACAGCAGTAACAAATGTTCCCCATAAACAAGCATAATTAGGTATTTGCAGGCTAATTAAAGGGTTTCAGAATAAGAAAGTGCAAAGCCAACGTCCAAAGGTAAAAACAAAATAGATTTCCGTAACATTCCAGCTGGGCAGCAATGCCACCTACTGGCAGATATCCTACCACCGACTAACCAGGGAATAGGCAGCAGCTTTCTAACCAGGCCTCTCCTGACAAATCCCTCACTCTGGCACTACTGCTGTCTCACACCGCTGTCACCCAGAGAGCAGCACGCGAGTGGAGAGCAAAATGAACACAACTAGTGTTAGCCCTGGTGTTCAGTGCCTTACTGGAGACGGCACCAGTGGTCAGCGTGCTGGTATGGGAACAGCTGTCATCTTAAACATTGTGCCTCTCAGACTGGATATTAATGTGTTCTTCATGCTGGTTGAAAGGGTTCAAAACATGTCCCTGTAGACCCCTCAGCACCATGTCCTGCTTGTCCCTCAGACAACACTGGATGTGTCAAACTCCTTGGGAATCATAATTTAAGACCAAAATTGAACAGGCAGGAAAATAACCCCTGTTGTCAACAGCCAAATACATCATGATCTGTGCTTTGGACAGTAATTTTGATGATTAATTTTGTCCACAGATGGAACTAGGTGGCTGGGTGCTTGCCAGTAATTTTAAGCAGCAGCTCCTCAAAAGCTCATCCCCCTACAGCTTCAAGTACAACCAAGTAGCAGGCTGGAGGGTTCCCAGGTGTGCCCAAGACCTCATTCCTTCAGAAGAACCCAATACCCTGTAAAGTTTAGCCATTTCATGGAGTCCCCAAATCACAGTGGAGCTCCCCACCTTGAGAGCTGAACTGGAACCTTGGAGACTAAATATGCACAGCAAAGATCATGAGTTTTACACACCAAAGGCCATCAGAGCTCCATTCAGCTGTCAGGGCCCATCCCCACACCAGGGCAGGTTTGGCAGGTGATCCCAGGACAAGTCACTTAGCCTCTCTGACCTCTGCTCTTCCCCTCTGTATAGAGCTCACTCAGATTTTCCTGCTACAGAGGATGACTGGGAAGCTCATACATTCCTGCAGCATGAAACACCCAGGTACATCAAAACAGCACAACTTGCCCAAGTTTAATCATACTAAATACTGAAGAGTTACCACAATTGCAGACCCATCTCAGTTCTGCAGGATGATACACCTTAGTTCCACGGAGCCAGATTCTTTCAAGACAAAGTGGTATTTATACACATTTCCTCAGCTTCATCTCTTCTACATTTTTGTGTGGGCAAAAGAGTGAATTTCAAGCAAACCATAAAGGAAACGAGTAACAAAGAATCACAGTGTCTTCTGTTTCTGGAATTTCTGTTGTCAGAAAAATTCAGCTGTTCTGATTCCAGAATGGAAAATGGTACAGGGACACAGAAAGTTGAGTGTGATAGCGAAGACTGTCATACACACACAAGGTAGTTTTTCATCAATTATTCATCATTTTAGGAAGAATCTCAACTTGCCCAGTAAGGTAAGCTTCTGCAGCCCCTTATCATCTGACCTTGGCCCCACACCATGACTTCTGACAGCAGCAGTCTCCCTCCATCCCTATCTCATACCTTTCCTATTGCTCTATTGTTCCAGCCTGCATCTTCACCCACAGTAGGCACCTTTCTGAGACCTGGTAGCAAGTCTCTCTATCAGCCCCTTGCCCATCAGGTTGACATTCCATGTCACTTCACAGTTCCCTCATACAAATTTCTCAACCTGATGTTCACCACAATCTTACTGTTTAACCCTCACATCTGGTTCAGTCTGTGGTTCAGCTGCCAGAATAGTGATTTGAAGCAGTATTAAGAAGCTATGCTTTAGTGAAAAAATCAACAAAATTAACTTCTTTCCTGAGGCAGCAAAGCATGGACAATTATTCTGGCTGTAAGGGCCTGTGCTCACTAGGGAGGACTGGAATCTGCTGGCCAGCTCCAGACAGGAGTCTCAAAGATACTCAGTCCCAAGAAGCATGTGATCTCAATGTTTGTGGGGAAAGACAGAGAAAAAAAGGATGCAACATTACTCAAACCACTTTAGAAACCTGAGAATCTGCATGGAGATGGGTAGGAAAGAAAAGGAGGTTTATAAAAGCAGCAACTGATGGGAAGTTTCAGACACCATCTGTAACTGACTGGGGAGGAGAGAATAAAACTGAATCACTGCCACAGAGCTTAAGCAGCTTGGTTCTCTAAAAGAAATGATTCCTTAGAAGTAAATGCTGGCATAGAAATATTTTAAAGCATCACTAAAGCATATCCAGCATGTCAGAACTGAGCAGGAAAAATTCCTGTCCTGAAACAGCAAGAAAGAGAAAAAGGATTTGTTTGTTTTTTAAGAAAAAGCGGTTTGACTTGTTTTTGCATCATTAGAGTCAGCAACTACCAAAACCCTAAAAGAGGAACAGACCACATCATATTTCTAAAGGCTCTTTGCCTTTTCCATACTAGTATGGAACAGGGAAGGAGTTTTTACAATCTTGACGAAAGCACCAAAAAGCGAATTATTTCACTTAAGTCTGAACCTTCGAACCAACGCAGTTCTTCACAAGTGTGATCTCCACGTTTCCCATTCCTATTTGCTGCTTTCCATCTTCCAAATTTCTACTCCCTCCCCACCCTGACAAATTTTCAGAAATTATACTATCTTTATATAAAATAAAACCTAAGGAATTGGAAGGATTTTAGTGTCTTCTAGGAGAGTGTTTGGGATTAACCTTGTTATGCAAAGACCAGAGAAAAAAAGCTGCTTATCTGGGCAAGATCCTTTGACATCACTGGCTAGAATATACCAAAGTAGTACAAATCAAAGCATTATCCTCACGAAAAAAAAGGGGGTTTCTTGTTTGTTTTTCCCCCTACTGACATTTCAGAGCAGTACGTCCAAAAAAGGCTTCCATTGCCAGATTACAAGTCAAGGAAACTCCAGTTCTTACCTATGTTTTTCCAAGTTTTATGTTGATAAGGATGTAATGGTTTGCTTTTCTGGATCAGGGCTTTAATCTCTAAAGAATTACATCTCTGCAACAACTATAAAATGCTTCACAATAAAAGAAAACTAGGGAAAAGACAGGATTCTAGCATCTTCAGAAGGTTTCACACATCAAAACACTTATAAAATTATCCCTTGAGCAATGGTTCAGATCTTCAGGTTTACTTCAAAACACCGCAGGAGACACAGATGCAAGGAGTTTTCCACTTGCTCTTTAATGAACTCCCCACACTCTGACTGCTGTAGACCTGAAGCTCTTGTCAAAGTCAACTACCCTTGACTCCTTTTTTTCAGGCATTCCTAAACAGTAGTTCCTGGGAAGCACTTGCTTCTCGAGCGATTCAAGTGGGACTCCCACGTCAGGGTTATGTTCACAGGGGCCTGCTGGCTAACCAAAAGTCAAGCTCTGGAAGGAAGGAAGGAAGAGCACAAGCACTGAGCAAACTACCACAGCTAACACACAAGTTATGCTGGGCTCCAGCTGCATATCCATACCTGTCTCATCTCACAGCGGGCTGTCAACATATCCAGAGAGTCACTGGCACTGCCTGCCTCTGATTTATTCCTGCAGCTCTTTCTCCATTAGGGTAAGGTATGTGGTGTGTGTCTTGCTTCACTTCAGACAGAGAAAGATTTGATACACAACTCAAAGGATCAGAAAGGCAGGCCAGAACTCCAGAGTTTTTAGGTCTAGGAACTGCAACTCCAGATGGGGGGGGTAAACTATTTATTGTGAGCTGCCTTTGAACAGCTGATTGAGATAAACAAAATCAGAGACCTTTTCTGCTTCTATTTTAGGATACAAATCATTCGCTACTGTTATTGCTCTAGAGTATTTTGCTTTTACATTTTCTAGTGAGAGAGAGCAATAAACTGTCCAGAGAAAGATCCTATCTCAAACTCTGAAAGAAAGCAATATATTAGTTAGTGAACTTCCAAAAAAACCATTTATGTAAAAGCATGTTCTATTTACAGAGGTCATTTTTCTCTTTAGGACAAGTATAACCACTACCAGAAAAAAAATATACATATAAGAAACACCTCATCTTTCAAACAGACATTTACAAATACTCTGGTTAAACTACTAGAAAAATTAAGACATTTGAAATTAACAGTGCATTCTGCATGCAGTTAGGATAGAAATTACATTATTTGACTTCAGTGTGTCATTTCTTATCATTGTCAATGACACACTCCTGGGCTTTTCTAAAAACACCACAGCCTGGCTATTACCTTAGGATCTCAAAAGGAGGACATGGATCTTCATTAGCAAGTTATTAGCTACTCTTCATTTTGCCATTAAAAAAGGAAATCCCGATTGTCTTCTCAGCAGGAGGGTCTGGTCTTGTTGAACTTGGCATCCTTTTCCCTGAGTTTCCCTTTAGTGTTTTGCTAGGCATGATGATCATTGACTTGGTGTATCTCCAAGTCCTTGGCCAGCACTCTTCCTGTTACAAGGCAGAGTTCAGAAATTCCAGGAGCTGCGCACGGTTCCGGTCTCTCTGTATGGCAGAGAAGCAGAGGCAGCAGCTGAACAGTTGAACAGACTCAGTGGAGCAAGGCTGCAGATCCCTGTTTTCTGTAGGGCTTTCACATCCACATTCACACAGCTGGATCTAACTAGCTATCAGTTGGGTGTGAGTTCCCCGGGGGAAGCACCAGGCAATGGGTCCTGGGGACAGATGCCCTCGGAGACAAGCTGTCACTGTCACTATTGCAGGATACATGTTCTAAGTGGCTCCCTGCAGAGGCTCCATTGGGCTGTAATCATGTAGCTCATGGTCTGCTCAGGAGGGAACTCACAAGCAGAACAGATGCTGTTCTCTGGTGTCTGAGGCGACTTTCACTGTACACATAGCAAGTCTTGTGCTTTGGGAGGTATAATTGTTTTTTCTGTGCAAAAACAGCAGCTTGCAGCATAACAAAACATTGAATTTAGGTTCTTTCTCCACGTAAGAGATGGCTCAAGCAGTCAAAACACTTGTTTCAGTGTTTTTTATAAAAAAATCGCATCTTTAAATACTGTAAAGAATGGATGCTGTTCAATTCAGCAAGACCACAGGAACCAATCAAAAAAGGACCAATATCAAATATTTGATGTTAAATATTGTAATGAGCAGGTTACTAGGACAGAATTGACAAGCATAATTTAACACAAACTGCAGAGCCCCAGAAAGAAGATAATGCATTTTAGATCAAATTTAGCTTTATGAATGCTCATATCTGCTTCAGTACCTATAGAATGAATTGTTATTGCTGAACCAGAATCTGCCAAGCTGGATATACCTCAACGAAGTAGCACTTCTAACCCATACCGACTAGTACCAGAGCCCTCTGCAGGCCACTCTAAGGTGTGGAAATTGTTGAAAAGGGTGAACTTATTAAATAAGTGCTGAGTCCAAACACTCATAGCAATAGCACAAAACACTACTCATTATATCAATTTCCCTGGGTATCTCAGCAAAAACATTTGACTGCTTTGAGAGAACACATGGTCACGTGGTCCTAATACTACTGTTGTCTTTTTTTTTAATTCCTCTCTAAATAATGGCTAGTTTTGCATGTGTTAGAAAAACACAGTAAAGCAGCAATTACCACAACTGATCACGAGAGACTGAAAGAAGATGAGTACAATTAAAACTAGTAAATTATATCAACAGAGAAAGCTATGAATCAGCTAACCATTAGAGACTGAAATTCTAAGAACCTGCACCGGCACCCTTTAGTTTATCTACTCATGCCTGAGTATTCCAAGCCCACTCGTAATACAAACCCTGCCAAAAGAATGAATTAAAATGTCTCAGATGGCACCATAGCCACACTAAAAGCTGCACTCAATTTACAACCCCTAAGTGCAAGACTGACTCTTCTACAAAAGACAGTACTATTGCAAAAATATTAAAAGATACAGTATCTTCTTTTAGGAATATATAGACTATTCTAACTCTTACCTCTATATCTTCCTTAGTCTTCTTAATTTTCATCTTAATTTTCTTTCCGGTTATCATGCTGTAGTTTTCATTCTTCTTTTTGTTTTTAAAGAACTAAAATGAGATCACACATTAAAAAAGCTTTGCTTTATTTTGTAATGTTACAAATCACAAGTAAAATTACAGATGATAATCTTTTATACTTCCTAACTGTTCAAAACAATACAGACAGATTTCTATTTGTTTATGATAAAACTGGGGATGTTATACACATTTTTATTACAGGACAGATTAAGTATTTAGATGAAAAATGTAATGGAGCTTCAGATTCACACAAGCATACCTTGGAAAGCTGGACAGGTCCTGCCTTCTCTCTCTTTTTCTTCTTTTCTTTCTTTTTCTTCATTTTGTTCTCTTTTTTCCTTTTCTACAAGAATAAGACATATATTCTTAGGCTTACAGACTCAAAAGGGTAAAATAAACCAAATCCACAAGTATATCTCAAGGCCCTCACTAATCAAGACACCCCTTCTGTTTGCCCTTACCACTGCCAGACAGGTAGTAGCTGAAATACAGAAAGTAACACAGCAGGGTTAGCAACCCTTGGGACCCTGAGAAACAGAAATGGTCTGATTCCCTGTTCTCTCCCATTTAATGTTGTCCTCGTTTAACCCCAATATACAAAATCACTGAACAGAAGGTCCTGATAAAATAGAAAAATTACTACAGCAAGAATCTACTACCTGCTTCTCTCACTGACTAAAAATCAGTTCTTCTGACAAATTCTATACAGTTATCAAGATTCCCCACTACTCTTTTCTTCAGAGACTACTCTGAATGCTAGCTGGACCAGCAATGACTGGTAAAAGTAACTTCTAAATTATTTCTTTTTTTTGTATACAGTCAATTAAATGCCAACCAATCAGTTCAGCTACTGTAACCCTAAAAGCATGATTCAGATTTACAGAGCCACAGACAACAGCATTATGTCTCACATGACCTTTAAGGTTATTGTTTGTAAACTCCATATTTCTCTTTGTAAAATGTTTACCTTTTTGTTGTGTTTTTCTTTTTTCTTTTTCTTCGATTTAGACTTAGGAAAATCTAAAGTTAAGGAAAAACAAACAACAAAATCAAATCCTCTAAGTTTAGAATTCTTGAAAAAGGCATTTGGTTTTATGGATAAGGCATACAGAAATGTGAAACCTAGAAAGAAAATGCCTTAATTTAGCTAAACACATTGACACTGGTTGAAACTAACTCAGAGGAAAGCAACACATTAACTGACTGCCTCTTACTGGTCTAACATGGAAATTGAAAATACCTGATTTACTGATTCTGCAGACATGCCAACTTTATGTGAGTCCTCAAAGGTAAATGCTTGAAATGTTAAGACCAAAGCAGGACTGAATAAAAAACCCCAACTCAGGTCTAAATAGACTGGTGAAGTAGAAGAAGATCTGTATTTTGAAAGTGTAATGATTAAAGGAGTTTAAATAAACACAACATATCGTTACAAAGTAACATTTTTTTAAATGGCAGTTTTTTATTTTTAAGTTACTTAAACTAACAAAAGAACATTGCAAACTGTCTACAAAGAGGCACCTTAACACAGCAATAGAAAAAGGTTATAGAAAAACACTGAACACACAACATTAGTATTCTGCACCATCACTTTTTGGTGGTTTAGCCACATTTAAAACAAGCTCTAAATGTTTCCAGGAGTACTATCAAAACTGGCAAACATCATGTGCACATGTGGAGGTAGCTTACCTCTACTACTCGAAGAAGATGATCTCGATGAAGAGCGTGATGAAGAGGAAGAGGTGGATGTGCTGCTAGAAGACGATGTGGATGAAACAGACGATGACCTGCTTCTGCTGCGTTTTCGTTTCCTTTTTTCTTTTCCTTAGGACAACACAAGGTAACAGTGACAAGCACGCTAGTAGTAACTATAGTCTACAAAAACGACTCTTCGCAGAACTTAAACACAGTGAGCCCCCGTGTGCCACGGTTACTAATTACACGGTTGCTAATTACCATCAGCAAGTGGCCATGCCCAGTATCGGGGTCTAAGTCGGGGACTGACACAGAGCATCCAAACCCCAACACCAGAGCAGGGCAACAGACCAGCAGTGCCTACCTCGGACCTTCAGCCCTTCTTCTGAAGTTGCACACAGCGTCCTACTTTTTTCATCCTTGCTTTTATCCATATCTAGTCAAGAGGCAAAAGTACATTCAATAACATAATTTCCAAAAGATTTTGGAAATGGAAAAAAAAAAAAAAAAAGGCAAAGGCAGTGCGGAAACCGAGGAAACCCGCGAACACGCCTGAGGGCAGCCCCACAGAATCACAGAACGGGTTTGGTTGGAAGGGACCACAGTGGGTCTCCCGGTTCAACCTCCCGGCCCAAGCAGGGCCATCCCAGAGCACACGGCACAGGACCACGTCACCTGCCCTCACACTGCACCACACTGAGGGGGGCCGCGCCTTCGGCCGCGTCCTCTCGCGTCGGGAACCGGAGGCCAACCCCCTTGTTTTCGTGCCACCGCCAGTGCGGACGCAAAGGGGGTTTTTCCCCACATCCCTCCGTGTCAGGCTTGCCGCTGGATCACGGGACCCGGCGCGCAGGGGAAGCCCCGGGGCCGCGCACCGCCGCGGCTGTCAGGGGCTCCGCGCCCAGCCCGCCTGTCCCCGTGGGCTCCGATCCCCCTGCCCGACCACCCGGGATGGGGACGGCGCCGCTCCCGCTCTGCCGCCCCTCTCGCGCTCGGCCGGCCCGCCCGCCGACCCGGAAGGGCTGGAGCCGCCGCCGCCGCTTCCTGCCCCTCACACGGCAACGGGGTCGGCGGTGACACATTACCGAGCGCATTTCCAACCTCTGGGCTTCACCCTGACAAGTTTTGCGTCCCCCGTTTTAAAATACCATGTCCCCAGACACAAAGCAATCATGGGATACTGGAACAATTCCTGATTCTGGTCCGAAATGAAACAAATCCAACCCCAAAGCGGCTCCAAACAGAAGTAATATCCCGCTCTGATTCCGGTGGGTCCTCAGACCTTGTGGATGTTCGTCTGGTCTAGCTTAGAATTTACTGAACTTCTATGTGCAGCTGCTTTACGATATTCAAGCGTAAACAAAAACATCTATGAAATACATTGATTCTTAATCTAAAGAAGTGTTTTTGCTTGTTGGTTATCATCATCATCATTATAAACAAATATCCAGTACTTTGCATCCTTGTAAAAATCTCCTTAAATGCAGCCAAAATGAGTATTAGGCCACACTGACTCCAGAAGGATGGTAAAGTTATTTATTCTTACTTTAGTTTATGTACACAGTGAAGACATTTGGCTAGAAAAATGCCTGCATTGTAGTAAGAGATATTCAAACAACTACAAACTGTCAATAAATACGTAAGAAACATACTAGATGCTGATGTAGAAATACCCTAAGCTCTTTTGGTTACTTATCCAGTACAATATTATTGAAAAGGTTTTTGGTATTTTTTTCATGCAACATCAAAATTCTTCCTGACAATTCATGCTATACAACATATTTTTTTCTTTATTAGGAATGGGGTGAAGTTTAAAATCCTGTTTACAAGTAGTAAAAAAATCACTGAAAATTTTAACATAAATCTCTCAATTACTGTAATAAAAAAAAACCAATTTAAAGAAGGTCTTGCCTTTAAAAAAACCCAATTTTCTCAACTAATTCTTTATAAAACAGGCAGTATGTCAAAAGGGATGTTTCCAACACCCAGGACGAATCATTTGTGCTTCAAAATTTTAAGAGGAATATTCGTGGCAAAAACCTAAACCCAACCAGTAGGTAGAGGAGAGATTGCAGTACAAACTGGCTAAAACCAAACATGATTTCAAAATCTGTCTAGGAAAACACTAAACACTTATCCACATCACTATGCCATCGCCTACTCTAACAATTAGAAATGGAGTTTTAATAATACTTAGCTCTCTTCATGCTCAAACTTCTTCACAAACATTTAAATAGCTCTAACATTTCTGCAAGTATTATTATCCCCATTTTACGCTTGGGGTGGTGGAGGTGGAGAGGGCTGGGTATTTGCCAGGATACAGACCACATCCTTTCCATCTTGCCTCCCTTGCTTGTCCAAGTTCTTTATCATTTTCTGTATTTTATACTCAAAGTACTGAGGAGTCCCAGGACACACGGTTCGTACATTTCCATCAGTTATTAGTGGTTATTATGCAAGTTGTGTCACTTTGAAAGTTACGTGACAAATACTGAAGTAATAACATGAAATCCACATCTGAGGCTCAGGGTTGATGACACAGAATGCCACACCACTGTCAAACCAAGCTTTCTCTTTCTGTAACAATGCTAGGGACATGAGGCCTAATTCTTTATGCTGTACAGCTGAAATTACTCTTGAAGTCAATCATGGTGGTACAAAAGAATAAAATTTGTTCCTTGCCATCTGTTTCTGGGAACACGGAAAGCCCCTTTGGTGGCTCAGTACATCCTGACATTGTAAAACAAAAAGGACTTCCAGATGAAAACAAAGATTTCAGATGTGCTAACCCACCAGGAGGTATAGATTACTAAGGTCTCTTCCCTTCCACCCCCCAATTTGAAAATATATGTGTCTGAGTTACGTCCTGAAAACCACGTGGGAAAGTAAATGTCTAGCAATAAGATTGCTGATACAAAATACAGTATTTTGCCTTCATCTTAGTACCAAACCTTGAATTATTTTAGTTGATATCAACATCCCGCACAGAGAGGGCATTTTTCATTTTGCCACATTTGCCCTCTTGAATTTTCTGCCTTATACCTTTCAGTCCATGCCCCGTTTTGATTTTTATCCTGCCTAGTTTACTCTTACTCTAAATCCAGCTTATTGTCTTGCTGTCTCTTGATAAGCTTTGGAGCAATGGATAATGCTGTGGTGTTCCACTACCTGATCTGTGAGAGATGAGAGATGCAAAACTCTGTCACTTGTAATAACAAAATGGCTGAGAATGCAAAATTACATCCCTGTTACAAGCACCCAAAAGGCTTTAAAAAGGCACGTGTATTCTGTGTCACTTGTTCCTTGATAGTTTTAGTGGGTCTCAAATAAACCCCATACAATGCACACATTCCCTTGCAGTATGGAAGGAAATTGGAATGAGAATTAAGATCTTCAGACAACACAGTCAGCAGTTGTTACAGCCCTTTTGTAACAACTGCTGACTGTGTTGTCTGAAAATCTTAATCTTCAGACAAGAAGTTCTTCAAACTGAACAACAAGTTGTTAAAGGGTGGCTGTGTCACCCTTTAACAAACACTAGAGCTGCACTATCTGTGAGAATTGGGTTCCTACTGCAACCTCACTCCCTAATCCCTTTTCCCCCTTCTCCCCCTAACATCCAAATTTCTAGGAGAGAGGAACAGTGCATGTTACGTGGGCTTTCTCCCAGGCAGATATCCAAAGCTTTTCCTGCCTTTTATAAAGTTTGTAGGCCAGAAAACATCAATTTTGCACAGATGTGGAAGAAAAAGAACAGGAGTTTTGCCCCTCTTCCAACAGCACAGCCAAGAAGAGCTAGCAGGCTGGCCGAGTGCCCTGCCTCTGGCCATGTCCTGAGAGGTGAGAAGTGCCTGCAGCTTTTGGCTTCAGATGGGGACTGTGGATGTTTACTACTAATGGAAATCAGTCCCAAGGCACTAGGCAGGAAAGGAAAGGACATAAGAAAGCTGTTGTGACCTGGGCATACTCTATATAGTTGAAAAACCAGGCTAAAAAAATAAGAGGCATTGGTGCCTTCCTCTGGGCTTTCTGGAAAAAGATAATTTAAACAAATTACAAAAATGCAAGATACTTGGCAAATGTTTTCCCTGCCTAACTGAAGGCATTCTCCCCTCTTCAAAAATCCAGGAGATGGAGGGACCAAGACATATTGATTCAAATTTGCTAATGTTGAAATGTTTCTATTGCAGGCAGGTGAAATGCACTTGCACGTTTGGGCATGGCTTCACTGCTGTGTGAGGGATGGGAGCCCACAGGCCTGCCTGGGCTCCAGGGAGGTTACTGGAGGAGTTTCATCTCCAAACACCAGTTTGGTGATGGGAAAAAAGCATTCCCCCCAGCCCGGACTGAGCCAATCTGGATTGAATGCATGCTTGCACCAAACCGGACTTCGAGCTGCCTTAAAAATGCAGTCTTGAAAAAAGGGTTAAAAAAGGAAAGGCTGACACTTTGGCAATTCATTATGAGTCCAAAAGCTGTGAAACATTCTCAGTAGCTTAACTGGTGGCAATTCACTATTGCATGGCTGGTAGTCACCAAGAAAGCAGTTCTTAATGGTTAAAGCAGTCACATTGATTGGGAACAATTTTCACAATTCCTCCAGATCAGTTAAATCCACGACGACTTTCAAAAACAGAGTGTCATCTCTGATATAGGTGTTCTTTGTGTTCTCCAGGACCGCGTGCGGCACGAAGCGGGGACATCCGGAGGCAATATTCATTTCCCCATCTGGCCTTTTGAAACTGCTGCTGTTGGGGTCGGCTCTAAAGACTTCCACAATGTGATTTTTTTTCCCACTTTGGTCCAAAAGCATAAGTGTAACTTTTTGCTTGAAAGGCCACAGCAACAGCGAGTCAAATTCCCCCCTCATCACTACAAAGTAGAGAGAGATGTGTGTTCCCTTCCCTGAGCCATCCCCGTTCAGGTAGGCTCTTGCACACAACCTGTACCCACAGCGGCTGGTGTAAAAGGGCTGGCTGGCTATGGAGAGGACACGGCCTTCCACCGCTTCTTTCTTTTTCATCTTGTAGTCTGTGATTTTCCAGATTAATTTCCCATTGTAGCACGTGCCTTCCAAAAGCTTAAATCGTTCTTCATTTTTATTGAGCTGTGCTTTGTGAATATTGATCTGGAGATCATGTTTGCTGGACTGATCTTCCAAAACAACTGAGAGAAGGGGAAACAAAAAAAGAAATAGGAAAACCAAACCAAACCAAAACCAAAACAAAACAAAAAAAAAAAAAAGAGAGAGAGAGAAACGTAAATAAAACTGTCTGAGCACCCAGACTCAAGGTGACAAAACTTAACTACCCAACTACCCAAGCCTGAGTACAGGCTATGAACTAGTGTGACTACAGCTGTTAACTTTTTAAATTGTAATTGCAGCTGGTAGTTGCGTAAGAAACACTGGTACCTACAAACCAGATTGAAGGCCTGAAGATGGATAGCCAGACCAAGGCCAGTGCTCTGGCCCTGCAGTGCCACAGGAATTCGGGAGACATTGTGCATTAGGGGAAGGCGGGAGAACACAGCTCACACCATCATGGTTTGGTCTTAGAATGCAAGAGGAAGGAAGCCCTTTCTAGCGAAGAGCTGCAACTGACTGACTGTAGCACCAGAGCCTCTACTTAGCTACCAGCAAATCAGCAAACTGCCCCCTCCACAGAAAAGAGCCCAAAGTGCTGACATACCCAAGCGCTGATCGTATGTCTCCATCAGGGCAATCTTCTGCTTTACATTTTCGATTGTGTCAAACAGGGGCCGCAAGTCTAATTTACTCTGCTGCTGGTTTGCCATCTGTATTAGCTGTTTCACTTGTGATTCCAGGCGTGCAGACTTATCCAGGTGGCTGGCCAAAGCCTTCCCAGTTCATGCCATTGAGAAAACATGGGAAGTAGAAGTACAAGAGACATCCATAAAGTCAGCCATTTTCTTTGAATTAAGATAATGAAGTCTTTAGCATGTCAGCAGTATCATCTATACGGTGCATTGAAAGTGCTCAGCTGGCTTAGGAACTTACCTCAAATGCTCCTTCATGATTAATTCAGCACATTTATGGATTGAGAAGCCATCCCTCATTTGGATCCATTCATGCTGCATCACTTCACTCAACTAAATTATTCAAATTTATACCACTGTATTTGCCATGGGCATCTGGCCACAAGGATTTGTAAAGTGCTTTTTGCCCACATCAGGTAACGAAACATCTTTATTGATTAAAATGAAAAGACAATACCATAGTGTAAAAAAACGAAAAGGGCTTGTGGAGATTAGTTACTGCCCTGCTATTAATGATAACTAGTACTGGATAAACATGTCAGAATGTAAGAAAGCAATTGATAAAAAAGGTAAAATCAAAGTCTCACCTGTGTGCTTACCATCAAGTTGCTATTTTTACCAAACAGTTGTGTATACTGTCTGAATTCTTTCTCACACTTTTTAATGGCCTCTGCCAGCTGCTGGATTTTAATCTCTTTACATTCCAGGCTCTTATATAGGTCAGATATCTACAGATGGGAAAAGCAGAGTATAAATACTAAGGAACACCAAAATATACAATAAAGAAATTAAAACATATGTGGCAGTGGAAAAGTTTACAACACAAAGCCTCTAACTGAGCTAGATAGAGCACTACTTAATTCACAGCTTGTGGATAAGCACTAGCAAGAACTGAACATAAGGTAATCAGACTCGAATAGATCTGTGTGGCTACAGGTGCAAAGAGGTTCATATCTCTCATCCCCATCCCCTTCAGCTCTATAGTGGGATAATATATCCTTATTTGCACACGTGTGCATGTGTGTTTCTGGGTGTATGTATATACATTTTTTTCCCCTCGACTGAGGCCTAACCAGTAAAAGCCATGAGTCAGCGAGGGATACAGACTTCAAAACCAAGTTATAGCGCTTTGGGACACTTGTTTTTTGCATAAACAAGCAAAGAGGAAGTCCACCATCAGTTTGGATGCATTCACCTTAGTAAGACTGGGCGTACACCCAGTGTCACCTGCTGGAAGCTGCTGAAGTGATCATGAGCAGAAAGGTGCTTGCAACTGGCTCTGCTGCTGCCTCTCAGAGTCACTCACAGAGTGAGTGACTTGGGCATGTAAAGGCTCCTTTCTGGAGTAACCTGACCAGCCAATGAAAATTTAAAATGCTTTATCTCCAAACCTCATATCTGCTGTAAATAGAGACCAAAAGCAAATGAGGTGAGCAATGGCAACGAGCCTCCCACTGTGCCTGGTGGAGAATACACACACCTGAGCACAGAGAGATTTCCATGTAACTGACTGACTTCACTAGAAAAGCTTATTCTGACTTCTGAGGTGTGCGAAGACCATAAAAACAGTCTTCTAAAGTGTAGCTGAGCTAAACTAGGCAACAAATGTAGAGTATCATATCGTCCTCCAACCAGTCAAGAACCGCTGAAGAGTGATCATTAAACACGACTTACCTGTTCTTCCAACCGGGAGTTCTTGTCTAAAATCTGCAGCATATGTTCCCTCAGGGCAGTGTTTTCATGTTCAGCAAGTTTCCCTCTTTTAACCTTAGTGAGGCAGAGGAGGAAGTGAAAGAATCAAATAATAAGCTGATTTTTGAAGCTGTTAGTAAAAAATTTATTGATGAAAACATTCAAAATGTCTCCTCTGTGCTTTGAAAGTGAGGGAATGGCAGTCCTGATTCTCTAGCACAGCATCTTAGCCAATGTTAGAAATGACTGTGAAAGGACATAAAATGCTTATTTTGATTAATGACTCTGATTGGCTTGGGAGACAAAGTCCAGTCCTAGTAAAGACAAAGATCTGTAAAACAGTACCTTTGCAAGACATCCGTACTGCTTATAGGGGCAGTCCACTTCTGCCTCAGGGCACACAGCCTGGTGCTTTTCAATCTGCATGTATTAACACAGAAGTTTGGAATGAAATAAATATTAAGTCATTTGATGCACTTATAAAATCTGAAAGCCTGCATCAGGGGTGAATAAAGGCCACTGTCATGACAACTGCAAACCACTTAAACAGGAAAACGAGTGTTCAGAGTCAATAAGCAAGATAGGTATTTTTCCATACTACAAAACATCAATGGCTTACAGTGACCAAATAACACACTTAAAAGATGGGAGATATATCCCTTTTAGAATCAAAGAAAATACTTAGAGCAATGAAATTTTATTGGCATGGGCCAATGTGGTCTGCAATGCAGCTTTCAGTTTTCATAAATGCATGTGATCTGTTGAATTGCAGTATATGAAAAAATAATAGTACCTCTTTTTTCAGAATTATTTGTGAACAATTTTGGAGACAAGGCACAGGATAATTAGGACAGTCATCTTTTTCATGATTCTGGGGAAAAAGAAACAGAACAAGGCAACGGTTTGAATTTTTTGTGAAGTAGTGCATATAGAGGAAGTTATGCAAAAAGTAATCCCAAACATACACGTGCAAGCCACATATCACCTTGTTGTTCATAAGAGAGCATCAATAATTGGTATTATTTAAAGCATATTTATTATACTTTCTCCTTCAGCTACTCAACCAAATTTTGTTTCAGGAGTTGTTAAGTACCATTGCAATGCTGGAGACTTTTCACTCAGTAACATCAAGAGGAAACACATACTAGGGATTCCCAGGGAATGCTTCATAATCTTACCTTTATGTTAATGAACACCACATATGTATTACAGTACTGACACATTTCTTCTCGAAATTTACAGTGCTGGCTCAAGTGTTCTTTCACGTCTTTCCGAAGAATTTGATCACAACATCCATCATTAGTGCATTGCATGCTTTCAAACAAACACTGCTGAAGATGCTCCTGCAACACACAACAGCAAATTAAACCCCAAAGTATTTCATTGCAATTTACCCAGCAGACCCACAGAAACAGCTGGCAGAGTCCTTTGTATGACTTTCACTTTTTATTCAATCGATACACCAAAAAAAGGCCCAAATGGCCAGTATGACTTGGCCAGTATGACTTGAATCAACATATGGTACCTAAGCATACAGAATATGTACACACACTGGATATACTAAAACTACATAATAATACTAGATATACTAAAACTACATAAAGCAAATGGTTCTTATTAAAAAAAAATAACCAAAGGTCAAGCTGAACAAGGTAACAGCCATAATATTTGTTACTTATGGTGTATAGCTAAGTCATAATTTTTGTACTTAAACCAAATTGCTACAATAACTCTGAAGACAATGACTGGGATTTAGCTGATCATAAATACACAGAATTGTCATGAAAATCAAAGGCTTCAAAATCTGATCAAGCAAACTAACCTGATATCGTCCCAGAATTACTTTTGAATTGCAGTCAGGAAAGTTTTTGCAGAACACATGCAAATTGAGAACTTCTCTCTTACAGCAATTGTCTTTGAATACCTGTAAAGGAAACAAACCATCTTTCATATGCAGCCACATAGGATGTTATGAATAATATAAAAGAGCAAAATATCACTACAGATCTCCTAAGCATGCAAGTGTAGACTCCGTAATTGTGAGTATGGCTCCTGATAATTCATATTGAAAATTTATATTATAAATATAAATAAAACCATAAATGAATTTCTAATAAGCACAGGCCTTTCTCCCCATATAGTTATTCCACAGATGCTGATCCATCCCACACCCAGCAGGACTAGTAGCACAGGAGCTATATAACCACTGTCAAAGCCTGCCTGTACCTAGAAGAAAGCAGCTGGAGCTAACAGGCCCTAAAGGCCATCCAGCTCTGTGCACACTCCACAATGTTCAAGCAGTGCAGTGTGCCTTTGGGATGGAGACGATGCCGAAACATCCTTTCTACTGTACTCAGTTGTGTGTGCAGAAGCAAATTAAGCCCCTGGAGCAAACTTTAAGTCTTATTAAGAGCTCTTCCTGTAAGGAGCACTGTAAATGTTGCACTGTTGTCATCAAAATTTGTACAAAGTAGAAGGTGGCAAAGGAAAAACAAAAATCACATGGACAGTCTGATTACAGCTTCATTTCAGGAGTACAACAGAGAGGAAGCAGACATTTGATTTCACTACAAAATTCATTCTGACATGATCAAGTATGTATACTTTTAAGTATACTTAAAAGTAGTATACTTTTAAGCCTTGGCATATAAATAAGAACAAATTAATCCATTACAAAAAAACCCCCAAAACAAAACAAAACCCAACCAAACAGAACACCAGAAAACAAAACAAACAAACAAATAAACCCCAAACAAAACAACCAAAACCAACAGTAATTTGTAAAATAAAACAGATGAATTTATCTTTTCTTCTAAAAGTCACCCAAAAGTAAACTAAGTCTGCAGGGTTAATGAGATCTAATGGAGATAGTTAAGGAGCAAGTTATAGCCAAGTGAAAGCAAAGACAACTAAATAAACAAGATAACCCAGCAAGATGGGGCATTAAAAAGTAAGTCAATAAACTCTCCACTAAAAAAAAAAAAATCTGATGACTAGGGAAGATTTAGAATTTTGTGAAACTCTTTGACACTTTACTGAAAATAGGGAAGACTAAAATGAAATAACTTCGGAGAGGTATAAAAATAAATCTTTATGTATACAGTCATACTTCCTTTCCGGGAGAGCATCACTGAGTACACTATTTCCCTTAGCATCATTTCAGAGACAAAAACCTGCTCTGCTCTGAGGACTAAGAGCCACCTTGTTCTCAGCACTCTTGCCTTTTCCATGCAGATGTTGCCTGCTGAAGTAAATCTACGGTCACTTACCTCGTGCATTTTTATTGTTTCTTTGTCGACAGGACAGGTGGGTACTGCATTTAACTCCCTAGAGCATAAGAAGAGTCATATTAACTCACAGAAAATTTTATTTATTTTATGAAATTGGGCTATGCTATAATCTGACTCTGACATAAGTCATATGATACCAGATACCATAAAAACAAAAAAGTGCTCTGAATCCACTTTCATCTGCCAACCACATAGCCAAATTCTGGCCAGAGTTCTACGAGGGCATTAATCTGAATGTGAATGTGTAACAGAAAACAGAGTTTGTCCTATGAATGTTAAATGGTAAAAACCATAAGATGGTTTTAAATTAAGAGGACTTTGTCACTCTCTGGTCATCTGCTGCTCTCAAATGTTGTATCTCAAAAAATCCCATTGTGTATTAAACCTAGCCTTTGCCTAGCAGAAGCAGTGCCCTCCTTGCTACACCAATGAAAGATCTAATGGCTGCTGCCTTAAAAGGCTTTGAGAAATCCTGTAATAAGGGGCAGGAAAACACTTATTGAGGCAGTACAAAAGGGATGCAACCCAGAGAGAAAGCAGCAAATATGAAGCATCTAAAATTCACAAAAGGTAACTAGTGACATCCATCCACATAAAGAGGCTCCTCTGCAGCCTTGCCGGGAGAAATCTTGCCCTCAGGAACAGCAAACAGTACATAATGTATTCCCAGACAGGTCTGTGGGGTAGAGTCATTTGTAGCAGATAATTCCCAAGCAGATGCCAGCAGCCTTGTGATCTGGCTGCAGTATCAGGTAATACTAACAACAATTTTATAACTCCACTAAAAAAAATTTTCCAAAGAAATTTTACAGAAGAAAGTGAACACCGCTTAATCTAACCACCAGTGCCAATACTGTGAGACATCACCAAACCCAAATTCTCTGCAGAGCACCATGCCAGACAGACAGACTGAAACAGCATCTCACACAGTAGTGCTCCAGCTTACATAACAATTTCTTAATGTTGACTTCCCTGTGGTTCACCAGCACTGGGTATGGTCTTTAAGGACACCTTTAAAACACTGAGCATGCAGTCATTGAGTTCATCAGAGTCTTTCCATTGACTCCTTCAGCGTCTTACTGGAGCAGTAATACTATTATGGCACTCACTGCTGATTCATAGAAGACATTGAATTTTTTTTTAGGAAAGGGAATACGGGGAGTTTGCGAACACAGGAGGAGTTTGCACTCACCTCAGAGAAAGAATACACTGCTGGCAAAATCGGTGCCCACATCCTGTCTGGTGGGGGTTGTGAAGGACGAGGTGGCAGTAGGCGCACTTGTACCGATCCTCTAAGGTTTCAACAAACTTGTAGTCGGTGTCAGGCTCAAAGTCCAGAGAGGTGGTGCTGGCAGAGTTCTGGCGTGTGAAGATGCCCGAGGGAGCAGTGGGTTCGTCACAGGCCATGGGAGCTGCACTGGGAACCAGACACAGGGGGAATCTCTTCAAATACTCACTGGCAGCCACGCTGCATCAGCTACTGCTTGCAGCAGGGTGCCACTCGCGGGAGGGCTGGCATCTGCAGAGGGGTGAGACAGATTCCAGAGGGAAACACGGCACCAGCTATGGAAGAACAACAAAACGCTCAGAGAACTCCAAATTGATAATTACGTGACAAGCATCAAAGCACACTCCTTTGGAAAAGAGTATCACAATCTGTAAACAGAGATCTTTATGTTTGTGGGTTTTTTTTAATATTTTCTTGCAGCAGTTCTTAGTCTGGAAAAAACTACAAGAGTCAGTAGTCAGACACGGTTGGGGAAAGCAGAGGTCTAGTCTTTGCCCTAATGTTCACCAGGAAAGTCTACACTTAAGGTAGAGCCCACCCACATGACTTCACAAGTTCATTGCACTGCTTCAAACAGGAGGTGGCTTTGTGGTTCACAGCAAGGAGCATACAAAAAATAGGCAGCAAGGGGATTTTACCTTCAGTTTAGGTGTTGCAGGAGTTGAAGCCTCTTAACTTGACATCTTTCTTTTTTCTGTTGATCCCTCATTTATAGCAGTAAACTCCTATTTTTTCAAAGTTTTATTAAATTATGTGCAAGTCCTTGGCTATATTAATCCTGTCTGCAAGAAGTGGTGGAAAAAAAAGAAAGAAAAGTGAGATTGCAATCAGAGGTGTGACGTAAGTTTTTCTTTCAACCTACTGATGTTCATATGTGGCACAGGAATGCAATTTCCCAGTAGGAAAAACTGTCAACATTTTTTTCCAGCCTTAAGACACAAACCTCGAGATCTTTGTCACCAGTCCCTTAATCCCACAGTAGTTTTTTTGCAAGTAGCTCAAGACCTAGAGCCACTCTGGTTTGCATTTCTTGTAGCTTTGCACTCAGAAGACATTTTCCTTACAGGATGCATACAAAAGCACAACACCTGAGCTCTCAGACTGTTTCACAGGAGAAGTGCTCAATTTTATAGCGGTGCCACGGGATGCTATCTCTCCTCTGTGCTCACCACCCACCCTGTCAGACACTCAAGTCACTCTTACTGGCTTCAGCACCTCTCTGAGAGCTCTCACTCAGCTGCTGTAAGGTCACTGAAGGTATCTGCTGCCTTCGGAGGGAAGCAGGGCCAACACACCACCAACCTTTTGGCTGGCATGAAATAATATGGCAAGTACAGACACACTGCCCTGCCTCTCTGCTGCAGTGTGTTCCTGGCCCATGAAAGCAGTGACTAGTGCTGCGCTATGCACAGTGCAGCACTGCCACAGACCACATCAGGCTTCAGAAAGCAACATCCATTTTCCTTTCTGTTTTAACAACCCACACTGGGCAAGGAATTCCTGTGGACAGTTAGCGTACCTGAACAAAAAACAAGCCAAAGCACTTAAACAACTAAAATGTATTCCACAGCAAACATTTGAGTGCTCCTGTAACTCAGCACCCTTGATCATGGTTGTACTCAGTATTTACCTTCCCAGCTTGTGAGGGTCTCCCTGTTATCCACCAGGCTGAATGTCTGACATACTCCAGCACAACTGATCACCCAACATCGACAGCCCTCAGGAATATGAACCTTAATCATATTTCAGGCATAAAGACTTATTATTCCAACTGGAGTTTGCAAATCACCCTGTTTGGTCCCTCCACATGAACAGCCTCCTGCTTCAAACTAGAGGTGGTTGCCCATTTGGTCCTTTCATTTTTAAACAGCTGACCTTTTCTTCTCTGAAAATGGGGTTCCCAGTTCCCTTACATTTAATAAGGACCAATTCTAATTTCTTCACGTCAACCAGAGATGCCAAAATGCAGCCTGAGGGATTACCACCCTCATGCCTGGGCTGCCTCTGTAGCAGATGCCAGCAGCAGAGCATGCCTGCTGCTTCGGAGGCAGATGGAGAGCTGTCACCATCTATTTCCACAGCACAGATTACCTACAGGATGAACTGCCTAAGAACTCATTCTCTTGTCAGCAGGTGAGAACCCTGAAACAATTTTCCTTCCTTTTTCTTATTAGTGCTCTCTCCCATTTACATGGCATCCACTTTCCTGAGTCCTATTACACTCCATTACTTACATCATCTGATGGCATGGTTTAGCAAGCTAATGCCACACAGTCTAAAAACACATATAAAAAAAAAAAAATCAATGTTTTATCCATTTTGCTGTTAAAGGTCTTCCTTAACTCCAGAATTTCTTCCAGCTGCGGTGAACAGATGCTTTAGGCAAAAAAAGTTATGGGACGCATTAAGAAGAAACATAGTCACCAGCCCAAAATCCTATCTAGAAACTCCTTCAGAGCTCTCACTGTTCATTAAATCAACCAAAATCATTCCCATCTCTTTCTGCAAGGAACACTCTGCTGTGGTACAACACCTTCCAATTCTCTTGTTGAAATGAGAGCCTTTATCTCCTTAAACACTTTCATAATGCACCCAACCCAAAAACTGGAGACCCTCCGTGAAAGACCCTCCTCCACCTCAGCCTCACTCAGGACTGCACTGCACAGCTAAGGGCAGCTCAGGGCACAGGAAAGAGCATTTCAGGTGAAAGGTGATCCTGCCTGCTAAGAGTGCAGAACGGAAACCTCTGGGTGCCCAGCAGGGATGTTTGCCACTGCTGACAGCCTTGCAGAAGGTTTGCTGCAGGGTTTGCAGCTGTTTTGCTGGAGGAAATGGGCTGCCCCAGGAGAGGGCCTGTGGATGGCAATGCTTTGCCCAAGCTGGAGAGGTGCCTGTGTGAATCAGCTGGGGAGAGGAGCTGAGAAACAGCAGCCCTGTGCCAGACCTAGTGCCAGCCAGCGCTCGGCGGGATGTGATCCAAACCATCACAGGCAGCAAGTAATTCCCATCCCAGTGCTCACCAGTGACTCGGGCGGGTCACAGAAGCTCTTCTTCCACTTTTGGCTTCCAGCACCCGGGCTCTCTGTACTGAAACCAAAGGGAAACCGTCAGGGGAAAAAGTGCTTTTTGGTGACAGTGAGAGCACGCCAGGGTTATCTGAATCAATTTCCTGCTTACGCTGATGCCTGGCCAGGACGCTTTCACTTCTGCCTGCTCACAGCTAACAGCAAGGGGAAGGTGTCCTGTCTTTGTGTACTCTCAGATTTTTCAGCACACGTGTGAACCATAGTGCTGTTTTAAAATAGCAGAGAGAGGCGGGTTTATGCTGTATAATGATGCTCTTGTGGCAGACACACAGTGCATGCAGTAAAGGGATTTTCACTGCACCTCCACTGCAACAGCACGCACACAAAAAACCCCCCAGTTTATGGAGACTGAAAATCTACACATTAAAAAAACCGGATTTCCATATACTGAAATAAATAGAATTAATTCTGGCCACATATAAAAAAAAGCAGTATGACTCACTAAAAACTAAGCCCAAGTCCTATAAACAGCTACCAATGAGTGGGAGCTCAATGGCAGCACAGCACAAAAAGCTCCCAGCTGCACCTTCCTACCATTTCAGCATCCCAGCCCTGCCTGCACCAATAGCTGTGCAAGCAAAATGCTTCTGGAACAACTCTTTATACACAGATGCTTTAAATTCACTGGAAGTAATCCAAGGAGGAGAATTTTCATAACAAAAATAAACTTTACTAAATGTGGGCTATCCTATTTTAACTACCACCACACCAAATTGAGCCCAAACACTTTCCATTAAAATACACCCCACTTAGTATTTCTAACTGTTCAGAAACTGAGCAAGACATGAGTACAACATAATAATAAGTAGAAAAATCAGTATGGGCATGACTTACTAGGATATAAAATGGCATTAACATTTTAAAGCCATGTTCAAACAGCTCCCCTCCAGCAGTGCTGCTGTCTATCTATGGCACCAGTAGTCAGAATGGACAAAGGCCATATACAAACCTGATGTCCCATTGAACTATTGTGGACAGATTAACTTCTTTTAGTCACAAAAATATACTTTCTGCACACAGATTAAACATTCCCTATAATGTGGGTGCTCTTTTTAAAGAGAGTATTTTTCTCCTGTTTCCTCTCACATGAAGCCAAACCCCCCTAAAAGATCAGCACATATGAGCTACGAGTGCACCATTACAGCAGGCTGCAGCACCAAAACTTCCAGGACAGCAGACCTGAGGCACAGGCACTGGATGCCACCCATGCCTTTTAGACTGAGAAGGGCAAATATCTGCATTGTTATCAGAGATCTGGTCACCATGCATGGACTAGACGACAGGATCCTTGGTCCTGCTGCCCAGCAAATGGGGGATGAGAGCATGGCTATGTTCACTGCATGAGGGGAAGGCAATGTTCAGCACTCTCCAGGATTGGGGTATTGCTCAATAAAAAGCACTGTGATTACTTCTTCACTTACCATGCTTCCATGAAATACATACAACAGGGAATAGAAAAAAAGTTATACACCTATGTTCCTATAGCTCTACTTCAGCTCTATTGCTTTGCCCTAAGGCACCTGGCAGGGACAAGTCTTAGAAGATGCCCTGTCCCTCTCTCTCAAATTATGTACCTTTTATGGTACATCAGAACTGGAAGCCTGTCTTAGTCACAGTGGGAAAAGTTTGTCAAATTTAGAGGTCTAAGATCAAGTCACTTCATTGGGAGCTGACAGGCAGAAACATGATGGACGGGAACATACCTTGCATTAAAATGACCCTGTCCAAGTTGCCTTATAAGCTAGGTAGATTAGCTACCTCCATATTTTTTAATTAAAATAACAAAGTTGCATGATTTACTATTTACTATAATGCCTTCTACAAAAACACTGTATTTTGGGGACAAGAAATATATGCCCCAACTCTTAACATACAGAGTGGAAGAGGTAACAGCGTCTGCTAAAGAATGGCTTAAAATATCTATACAGTTTGAGATACATGTTTAAGATATAGCAAATTATATGGAGTCATGTGAAAACAGCAGATTATGACATCTGACATGATGGATCATCCTTGTCCCTTCCAACCCAGAAGAGATACAACATTTTGACTGCTGACAACAAAACACACTTGCAGAGTCCCCATGGGGGAGAAGAACCCCAGCTGCATGACGTGTGTCACCCCAGCAGAGAGGCTGCGGAGGGAAAGGATCCCCTATTGCACCAACACAGACCCACTGCTGATACTTCCACTTCACCTGGCACTAAGTCAGCCTCAGGAGCTGCTCTCCTGTTATCCTAATCACTTCAAAACTGCAGTGCAGTGACCAGCTGGTACCCAGGACAGAATATTTCTAATAGCAACAATTTCCTATTGGATATGTGCCTGAGCACCTAGAGGGGATGTTGCTGCAAAGGACAGCAGAACAAACATTTTCTTTTGGATATAGACAATACTATCCTATCCAAATTCCAGTATTACCTTATTGTTAAGGCACAGTAAAATCTTACTAAGCAAGCATCAGTTTGCTAATCTCCATAGGCAAATTTTCACTAAGCAGAGTAAGACAGTAGGGTTTCCTTTGCGTAGAGGTACAGTCAAGCATTACAATGAATTCCCGTAAGACTAGACATCAGCAGGTTTTTAAGACACAGATTACAACACAGATAGCATAAAAAAAAAAAATTAAAAAATACCCTCTTACAACCAATGAAGTCTGTCTGGTGCTGAAGCAGCTCTGATTTTACAACCAGTTTATTTCTTTGCTACATCTACTGTTTTCCCTGGATGTTCTAAAAATAATGAATTAATTTTGCATTATCTCTCTATGTCTAACCAACACAATATTGTTACAGTAATACAGAGAACTTTTGCCTTAAAATAATCACACTCATAGCTGGAAAATAACTTTGTTCCCATCACTTCTGTAGCAATCCCTGGCTTGCACATTCCCAAGCACCAACAGAAATTTCAGCAACAAGGCTCTGCCACTCACC